TTTCCAAGACAGACTCGTTCCTTCTTTTGGTAGTCCATGGTATATTCAATATTCATCTGCAACACCATAATTCAAAGACTTCAATTCTTCTTTGGTCTTCCTTATTCATTTTCCAACCAGTAAAGATTTTTGTTATACTTATGTTGAGGTGTAATTCATACTGAAGGCTGTAGTTTTTTATCTTCATCAGTAAGTGCTTTAAGTCTTCTTCCTTACAGCAATCAAGGTTGTGTCATCTGCATATCACAGGTTGTTAATGAGTCTTACACCCATCCTGATGCCACGTTCTTCTTCATATAGTCCAGCCCTTGGATTATTTGCTCAGCATACAGATTGAATAAGTATGGTTAAAGGACACAATCTTGATGCACATCTTTTTCATAACCTTTTGCTTTCTTTATGTATGATGTCCTTGGTGTCAACCCACAAGCTTTCAGGAATTAAGTGTTGAAAATGGGAGTGGCACTAGTGACTAATACCCCTAGTGATCCATTCACAAAGTTTTTGCTACCTGTCCCTGCAACTCTATTTTCTGTGGGTTTAGAGGTCTTAGTTCTAAAAGGAGGAATTGTCCCACCTGGAGACACCACATTTATTCCATTGAGTTAAGAATGCCACTTGGCTACTTTGGGCTCCTTGTGTCTCTGGATCAACAGGCAAAGAAGGGAGTTACCATATTGGCTGGTGTGACTGATTCTGACTACCAAGGGCAAATTGGATTGGTGTTGCATAATGGCGGTAAAGCAGATTATGTCTGGAATACAGGAGATCTCTTAGGGCATCTCTTAGTACTACCATGCCCTGTGATTAGTGTCAACAGAAAACTACAGCAACCCAATTCCAACATTACTACTAATGGCCCAGACCCTTCAGGATTGAAGGTTTGGGTCACCTCACCAAGCAAAGAACAACAACCAGCTGAGGTCCTTAAAGGGAATATGGAATGGATGATGGAGGTAGTTCTATATACCAGTCATGACCACATGACCAGTGGTAATTGTTATCAGTATTTCTTCATTGTATGTGTGCATCAAGTATTTTTGTTTTCTTTACTTATAAAATATAGGATGTAAATGGGGTCAGTGTGTTTTCAGTTGTATGCATGTTTGTTGTATCATGTTAGGTGAAAGTATGACTTTGTAATTGTCTTTATTTAGATATTGTGGATGGTTTAAAGAGATGTGTACAGGTGCCAAGTTGACAAGCGGTGGACTATGATGGTTAAGGTTGTGTGTCAACTTGGCTGTGCCATGATTCTTGGCTGCGCAGTGGTTTGGCAGTTAGCAATGATGTAATTTGGCAGTTATGTATTGATGTAGTCATCTTCTATGATGTGATCTGATATGATCAGGCAATCAGTTGTAAGAGAGAGAATGTTCCTCTGGAGTGTGGCCTGGATCTAACATGTATATGGATGTTCTGGCAAAGCTCGCTACCTTCCTCCTGATTCTGCACGTGGGTCATCATCATGTGAACTCTGGTTCTTCAGACTTGAGCCAGCTTCCTGCTGTATTGCCTGCCAGTCTTGGGATTCATCACACTCCACAGCCTGTGAGCTATCAGTCTACCGTCTTACTTGACAATCTTGGGATTTGTCGGCCTCCACAGCATGTAAGCCAGCAGCCTGTTATCTTACCTGCTGATCTTGGATTCACCAGCCTCTGCAGCCTCTGAGCCAGTGGTCTGACGTCTGACCTACTGATCTTGGGTTCATCAACCCCTGCAGCTATGTGAATCAGAAGCCTCCAGCCAGATGCTGACCCATGGACTTGGGACTTGCCAGTCTCTACAACTGTAGGATCTATTTCCTTGATATATATATCTCTAGAGAATACAGTTTTCTCTATTTTGCTTCTCTAGAGAACCCAGCCTAATACATTTGGTACCAAGAGTGGTTCTAGAAAAACAAAATTGCAAGGATGTTTTCTAAATTGGTTCTTAAATCTGAGTAGTCTTAAAGGCACTGATGACTCTCCCTCCTGTAGTAAAGAGGGCACTGCTAACACAGGGTGTGACGTGCCAATATTAATATGTTAACTATCGTCAAGAATAGATCAAGTATTGATGAAAAACAATGCTCTAGATGATCACATTTTTGATACTTGCTACAATTTTCTCAGAATGAGAAGTACAGGAAGCTGGTTGGTTCGTCCTATTTTTGCTAGACAAAGTGGTGAAAGGGTTGAGTTTAGGGCTTCAGAGCCACAGCTCAAGTGCCGAATAAAATCCCACAAGAAGTATCTCCTCTATAGCAGAGGATTAATGGTGTTAATAGTAATTGAGTTAATTCATGTAAAACACTGCCTGATACATGTCGTTGTAGTTGTCCTTAAGTTGGCTCTGACTCACGGTGACCTTTTGTATAATAGAACAAAATGCTGCAGTCCTATGACATAGTCATGATTGTTGGTATGTTTGAATCCATTGTGGTTATTGTGTCACTACATTTCACTGAAGGTTTCTGAAGGGGAAAACAGGATTTGCAAGGCTGAACATGGCTGCCCTCATGCTTTCTTTTAGTTCACTGTCGTATTCCAAGCCCTGATTCTGTGACCTTGCTGAGGCAGTTTTATGTAACCCTCTGGCGTGGAGCTATCTTTGTCCTTGACCACTATAAAACTTTGGCCCACCCTGCTGCTAGGTGAGAGAACTGCTTTGGTCCTGCAGCTGCCCAAGACTATTTGCCTTGGTATGTAAATCTCCCTAATAAAAACTCCTTCGCCACCACACTAGTGTTGCCTGCCTTTCTTTGATCTCTTGGCACCTCCAATTTTGAGGCAAATTTCAAGTTACTGGCCCATGCCTGGACAATTTCCCTTGTTTATGATGACCCACTACCAAACATGATGTCCTTTTCTAGCAAGTGGCTTTTACTGATGCATAGTAAACCATATTTTACGCCTTAAAAAAGCAAAAGAGAAAAGCAGTCTTGTGTGGTGAAAAATTACTTTATACAAAGAATTTACTAAATGATTGCAATGACACTGATGTCTAGAGAGGACATCAGAGCACACTGTATAGCATATCCTAAAGATGTGATTCAAGGGTTCAAAAGATCTACCATGTGATATCAGCACTTCCTCCACCTGAACACCTGGGCTGGAGACCAAATTCAAACATATGATCAATGATTCAATCATGCCTATGTAGAGACCCCAATAAAAACTCTGCACACTGAACGGTTAAACTCGCTGGTTGGTGATAGACACATATGGATGGGAGAAGGGAAGGATTAATGTATGCTTGAGACTTGGGAACTCCACATTTGACACCCTGCCAAACCTCATCATGTGTGGCTTTGCTATATGCTGGTCCTGATCTGCATCCTTTTTGCTATCTTAGAACTGTAAGTAGAACACTTCCTAAGTTCTGTATTATTCTAGCAAATTATTGACCCTGAGGGGCTAGTGGGAACAACTGAATTTTAGCCAGTTAGTTGGATATCTGAGTGATTCCAGAAATCCCCAAATTTATGGTTGGTGTCTTGGCATTCTAGAGCTGTGCCCTTTCACTTGTTAGATCAGATTTTGCTCCGGTTGGTTAGTCAGAAGAGTTGCATTAGCAGTTGGCTGGTGTCAGAGAAGATATTTAGAGTTGGTAGGATAGGCAGAGAGGGCAGGCACTTTAAGCTCCTACAAGGAGGAGCAGCAGCTTGGGCATCAAGATCTAAGCTTTGGCATCGCTGAGATGGCTTATCAGTGATGGAAAACCCACAAAATAAACAGCCACACTTTTGACTATTGTCCTGGTTATCAATTTATTGCTTCTGCTGCAGATACCCCATTTTTGCCTGATCTGTGGTAACGGAGATATGCGTTACATTTCTCCTGTTCCAATTATCAGTCTGTGGAGGGCTTCCTAGTTCCAACGTGATCATCTTCCAGACTCCTGGAGAGGTATTTTTGTCCCTACTTTGCTCCATGTGGGTTGTCCAGTGGAGGATTCTTGCAGCCACAGCATTCTGACAGTACAACTTTCCTCCAGCTTTCTATTTGGGCAGTAGTGGCATAGCCTGAGCTCCATACACTTGGGCCTGGGAACTAATCCAGATGCTACATTCCACACATTGTCCTCGCAAATGCAGGGATGCCTATCAGGTGAGTTGCCACCTCAAATCCCTCCCCTAATGTCAGAGGCAAACAGAAGTGTGTTCTATTCTTCTAGAAAGCTTCCTCTCCAGATTCCAGCAGCAACTGGAAATATACACTCTTGGTGCAATATAAAATGACCCAGTCCCTTAGAGAAATAGATGGAAAGTTTCTTATAGAGATAATCATACACCTACCATGACACATCAATCCCACTCATAGGGATATAGAGAAAAATGAAACTTATGTTCACATAAACCCACTGCATGAATGTTTATAGCAGTTTTATTTAAAAAGACAAAAAACTGGAAACTCAAATATTCTTAACCTGATAATTACACAAACTGTGGTACGTCTATAAAACAACATATCACACAGCAACAAAAAGGAACTACCGGTACATTCACCAAACTCAAATTCTTTACAGTAAATGACAGGAACCAGGATCTAAAAGCTACATACAGCATGACATGTATGTGGACAGGTACCAGAGATTCATGACTAAAAGAATTTTTAAAGGAAAGAGCTGTTTTGTATTTTCATTGTGGTACTGGTTATATGACTTGATGTATTTGTCAAAACTCATACTGTACGTTCCAAAAGCAAATTAATATTTTTAAAATTAAAATTGTATAAGTAATGAACAAACTGCAGAAGTCTGAAGTTAGGGAGAACAGAGTAATCACTTAGTCTCGCCTTTGGGACAGATCTCTACAGACTGATTTTGTCTGTATACACTTTTTTATAAAACTGTCATCATTATGTACCCACTATTTTATACCTGTCCTATCACACATTAAACTATGATTGCTTCACCTGTGGACTAGATTTTTCTGAATAAATTCATTTAGGGGCAGTACAACACTGTGATGTGTAGCCAGGTATTTATCTGAAAACTCTCTTCCTGTTGGACACTGACATCATTTCCCCTTTCACTATTTCCACAATCTAGCAGTTATCAAGGTATACCATTACGGTGCCTAAGGATTTGCATAAGATGATCCTGAAAGAATTGCTGGGTCAATTTGAGGACTAATTTGAAGGCTTTTACTACCTGTAGTCACTATTTCCCACACCCCTTACATGAGAAGTCAAGGAAGATGGTCCCAGTTCACTGTGGGGCTGAGTAGCTCTGTATAAACCTCCAGGCCCTGTAGCAGGTGTGCACCCCAGGAGAAGCAGCAGTCACCAGTACAGCCCAGTACCGCAAATGCAGCCTCAATTCCTGGCCTAGTGCATTCTCCCTGAACCACATTAACAGAAGTAGGACTTTTTCAAAATAAGGTTCTGTGCCTGTGCTGGACAGAAGCTCCACTGCATCTAGGTCAGGCTGTGGGTCTGTCAGGCTCACCATCTCTATGTATCCCCAACATGGGCCCTCCTTCAACGAAAATCCTGCTTCTCACAGCACCATTTAACACAGACATTTTTGAGAAATGGTAAGATGTGGGTTAAAATTTTCTATGCAGTTTCCTCATTAGTAGAATAGGGATCACTGTAGTTGTGGAAGATATTAAAATCAGTTGAAAAAATGTTCTGTACAACACTACACACAGTGTATAATCCGGATTCTTTCAGAAACAATGCTTTGCATACGAAGGCCAGGACAAAATAAAATACCCAAACTAACTACAGTGGTGGAATTGAGTGATTTTTGCTTTTCCTTATAATTTTCAATTAAAATAAAAATTTCTACAGAGAACATACTGCTTTACAATGTGAAAAATAAAAACTTTAAAAACATATTTGATGAAAACAAAACCACACAGTTTATAACACAAAGGGTTGATCAGATTTTTTAATGAAGACAATTTTTATATAACAGAACCAAAATAACATTTTGATACTTAACCAAAGTCACGTACTACAACTGAATTACTTTCCTTACAGTCACAGTCTCTCCAGTGTATGACGTATCACAGAGGTCCTCAGGAGGAATAGACACTGAAGGCTTTCCTTGCCTTTTACATTCATAGGCTCTGTCATGTGTAATGTATATTTCTCTTCAGTGTACCTTCTCACGTTTTCAAATGGTGGACATAGAGCTGAAGATGTTCTCTCATTCCTTACATTCATAAGGCCTCTCTCCACCGTGAGTTCTTATATGTTGAGTGAGAGATGAGGCCTGGCTAAAGGCTTTCAGACACTCCTTACATTCATAAGGCCGCTCTCCACTGTGTATTCTTACGTGGTTGATCAGGTGTGAGGACTGGCTAAACGCTTTCCCACATTCTTTACATTTGTAAGGCTTCTCTCCTCTGTGAGTTCTTACATGAGTATTGAGGGCTGAGCGCCAACTAAAGGCTTTCCTACATTCTTTACATTCATAAGGCCTCTCTCCCCTCTGAGTTCTTATATGGTTAGTGAGGTGAGAGGACCGGCTAAATGCTTTCCCACATTCCTTACATTTATAAGGCCGCTCTCCACTGTGAGTTCTTACATGGTTGATCAAGTGTGAGGACTGGCTAAAGGCTTTTCCACATTCCTTACATGTATAAGGCCTCTCTCCACTGTGAGTTCTTATATGCGTAGTGAGACTTGAAGAATCACAAAAAGATTTCCCACATTCCTTACAATCATAAGGCTGTTCTCCACTGTGAGTTCTTATGTGGCCAGTCAGCTTTGACAACTGACTAAAGGCTTTCCCACATTCCCTGCATTCATAAGGTCGCTCTCCACTGTGAGTTTTTATATGGTTCATCAAGTTTGAGGACTGGCTAAAGGCTTTTCCACATTCCTTACATTCGTAAGGCCTCTCTCCACTGTGAGTTCTTATATGAGTAGTGAGGTGTGAGGCACAACTAAAGGCTTTCCCACATTCCTTACATTCATAAGGCCTCTCTCCACTGTGAGATCTTATATGTGTAATGAGGTGTGAGGACCGGCTAAATGCTTTCCCACATTCCTTACATTCATAAGGCCTCTCTCCACTGTGAGTTCTTATATGTGTAGTGAGGTGTGAGGACCGGCTAAACGCTTTCCCACATTCCTTACATTCATAAGGCCTCTCTCCACTGTGAATTCTTTTATGTTTACTGAGGGATGAGGAATAACGAAAAGCTTTCCCACATTCCTTACATTCGTAAGGCCTTTCTCCACTGTGAGTTCTTATATGTGTAGTGAGGTTTGAGGACCGGCTAAATGCTTTCCCACATTCCTTACATTCATAAGGCCTCTCTCCACTGTGAATTCTTTTATGTTTACTGAGGGATGACGCACAACTAAAGGCTTTCCCACATTCCTTACATTTATAAGGCTGATCACCATGAGTTCTTATATGGCTAGTCAGCTCTGAGGACTTACTAAATGCTTTCCCACATTCCTTACATTCATAGGGTCTCACTTCACTGTCAATACTTATATGTTTACTGAAGGATGAGAAAGAACTAAAGGTATTCCCATATTCCTTTCCATCATAAGGTTGCTTTCCACTTTGAACATTTTTATGTTCAATGAGAGCTGAGAACTCACCTAAAGCTTTCCCAAATTCCTTACATTCATAAGGCTTCTCTCTACCGTGACTTCTTACATGTGTAGTAAGGGATGAAGAACAACTACAAGTGATGCCACATTCCTTACATTTATAAATTTTCTGTCCAGTAAGTGTTTTTACATGAGTTCTTAGGTAAGAGGTACAACTGCAGGCCACTCCACATTCCTTAAACTCATAGTTATCATATCCAGTGTGAGATCTTAAGTGACGTTTAAATGAAGAATGATACTTGAAAGCTTTTCCACATTCACGGAATTCAGAAGGATTTTCTCTAGCAGGAGTTCTTTTGAAGCTGGTAAGATGTGCAATCTTGCTGAAAGGTTCTCCACACTGAGTACCTTCTTTCCTTTGCTTTACTTTCCCTTCTTTACTTTCACAGAGGCCAACTGTAAGCCTTCTGTCAAAAACAGGCAGCATGTTGTTAGAATTATGTTAGTTATAACTTCATAATTATAGTACACAGTAAATACCTGTTTTCTGCCCTGAGTTATCTCATGTGGAATAGGTTAAATCATCTTATAAAGATCAATTCCTTTACTCTCACAGTGTTTCTAAACAACGAGGCTTTCTGATAACTGAGTACAAGGAAGATATATTTCACATACTTAATAACACATTCATATATATGAAAATACAGGCTTGTGAAAATTATGTGAGCACAATTTTAGAGCTAGTTTTATACATACACACATACACAGATAAATGCTGTGATACCTTAAGACTCACTCCTGAGGTACTGTTAACAATCATCCGAATGATACTCACCTCACGTGACTCCCCTGGTTGTTATGCTGCTCTTCAATGCCATGGAATTCACAGATTTCTCCTAACACGGTGTACCAGGAGTTATTTCTCACGAATCGCATTACCAAGTGTTCACTGGACACTATCTGTCCTTTATCAACCTGTTGAGAAACTGACCCAATAATTTTAAATGGAGTTTCACAACATGAAACAGAATGGTAAGGAACTTTTATGAGGAACAAGGCACTTGTGAGCAAGAAAGACTCTAAGGCATCTGGATGTTCCCGGATGTTGGCAATGGTCAAAAGGCTGAGCAATGTACTAAAAAAATAACTCCCTGACAACTGAAAATCAGTGTCATAAACAGGATGTAATTAGGAAGCATAGAAGAAGGCACTGCATACCATGCATGTGCGCGAAAGTAATGTTAAAAGAGAAATGTGGAATAGACGGCTTGAGAGGACTGATGTAAACAAAAAAAAGCAAAGTATATCTGGAAATTTAGCCTCCTCAAAAAGTTTTTGAAGGTGATGTATTTAAATGTAATTCCCTCCATGAAGGGCTCACCCTTCAAAAGATTTTTGCCTTTCTAGTGCATCCTGACACCATGGTTCTGAATAAGTCCTAACTCTACTCTCCTTAGATCTTTCCCTGGGAGAACAAGTGGGTGTGGCTGACATGGTGTTCATGGGGAAAGGCAGATTGTGAGAGAGGACAGTGGGGAGCCCATTTCCCTGACATTGGGCCAATACTTTGGTCTCCAGAGTCTCAACAGATGAACTGGTATGAGTTCATTTGCAGCAAAATAATGACATCAAATTTGTAATAAATACAGTCAAACTAAGTACCAATCTACAAAGCTGTGTCCAAAGTGACTCCTGAAGCCAATGTGCACTATTACAATACTTAAACACCCTTAAGGCTTTTAACCAGAAGAGAAATACAAACTCCGTTTAATATGTAGATTTTTGCTGTCAGCGGCAAGACTCTAGAGGTAAAGCTCCATGAAAGCAGTGAACGTCTGTCATGTGATTCAATGTATTCCCATTCCTCAACCCAAACCTTCAAACGAGGTCCATGAGTACAATATATTCATTCACAATGAAAAAAAAATAAGAAAATTGAAATCCTTACCAACTGAGGCCAAGTTCCTGAAGGTTTCCATCATCACATCTCTGTAGAGTTTCCTCTGAGCAAAATCCAGCAAAGCCCACTCTTCCTGGGTAAAGTCCACGGCCACATCCTCAAACACCACAGACTCCTAAAACATCCCACATATTCTGGATGAGCATGGTATCATCTTCCCCAATGTATGCAAAAGAACAGGTGAGGCTGTCAGCACAGGGCAACAGAGAATTCAGAGAAAAGTCACACAAGTTTCTGTGTTCTACTCCAGAGTTTGGCCATCAACTCTTCTTTTTGCAGTCTGCATTTGCATCCTGACTCTTGGTATCCTATCTCATAAATTTAACAATATTTCTAACACACTCAACTTCTGTCCACATAGTTGAGTTTTTATGCATAGTCAATAAAACACAGGTAAACATCTTTTTCATATTTTCTGCTCTAAGACAAGATCCATCTGGTATCAGCACTGATATCCCTCCTGTGTCATCTTCTGAATTTGGCTTGAATTTCTGGCAGTTCCCTGTCAATGTACTGCTACAACCATTTTTTAATTTATCTTCAGCAAAATTTTACTTGCACGTGGTATTAATAGTATTATTTGATAATTTCTACATTCTGTTGGATCATCTTTCTTTGGAATGGCCAAAAATATGGATCTCTTCCAGTTGGTTGGCCAGTGTCTTAGTCACCTAGTACTGCTATAACAAATACAAGTGGATGGCTTTAACAAAGAGAAGTTTATTCTCTCACAGTCCAGTAGGCTACAAGTCCAAATTGAGAGCATCAGCTGCAGGAGAAGGCTTTCTCTCTCTGTCCGCCCTGGAGGAAGGTCCTCGTAATGCATCAATCTCCCTTGGTATGGGAGCATCTCAGCGCAGGAACCTCAGGTCCAAAGGTCACGCTCTGCTCCCATAATTGCCTTCTTGGTGGTGTGAGGTTCCCATGTGTTTCTGCTCACTTGTCTATCTCAAAAGAGACTGGCTTAAGACACTATCCAATCTTGTATTCCTCATCAGTATAACTACCGCTAATCCATCTTATTAGATCATAGTGACTGCATTTACAACACATAAATCACATCAGATTATACAATCATATACTGGGAATCATGACCAGCCAAGTTGAAACATACATTTTTTGGAGGACATAATTCAATCCACGACAGCCAGGTAGCTGGTTTCCAAATTTCAGTCCTGGATAAGTGAATGCTTCCAGTGTTGCATCTGTTGTTGGAACATATCAATTGGTATTCAGTCAATTCCTAGAGCCTTGTTTGTTGCCAATCCCTTCGGCACAGACTGCACTTCTTCCTTCAATAGCATCAGTTCTTGATCATATTTACCCCCGCAATTCCTTCATCATCGACTGATTCTTTTTGGTACAGTGACTGTGAATTCCTTCCATCTTCTTTTGATGTTTTCTGCATCATTAAAAATTCTGCTAATTATGGCAATATTACAACTCAAGGCTTGAATTTTTTCTTCAGTTCTTACATCTTGAGCAATGTTGAGTGTTTTTCCCTTTTGGTTTTGGAACCCCAGGTCTCCACACATTTCATTATAATACTTTATGTTGTCTTCTCAAGCTTTAAAATCTTCTGTTCAGTTCTTTTACTTCATTTCTTCCATCTGCTTTAGTTACTCTACATTCAAGCACAAATTTCAGGGTCTCTTCTGACATTCATTTTGTTCTTGTTTTTCTTTCCTGACTTTTTAATTATCTTTTGCTTTCTTCATGAATGATTTTCTTGATGCCATTCCACAACTTATCTGGTCTTCAATCGTTAGTGTTCAATGTGTCAATTCTATTCTTGACATGGTCTGTAAATTCAGGTATGATATACTCAAGGTTGTACTTTGGATCTCGTGGATTTAATTTTCTTCAGCTTCTACTTCAACCTGAGCAACTGATGGTCTGTTCCAAAATCGGCCTCTGGCCTTGTTCTGACTGATATTGAGCTTTTCCATTGCTTCTTTCCACAAATGTAGTCATTTAGATTCCTGTGTTTTCCATCCAGCGAAGTCTATGTGTATAGTTGTCACTTATATTGGTGAAAAAATACTTGCAATGGAGAAGGCGTTGATCTTCCAAAATTTTCTGCTCTCGTGCCGTTTCTATCACCAACAGCATATTTTCCAGCTACCGAGCTTTCTTTTTTCCCCAAGTTTCACATTCCAATCACCAGTAATTATCAGTGCATTTTTACTCCGAGTCTGATCAATTTCAGACTGCAGAAATTGGTAAAAATCTTCAATTTCCTCATCTTTGGCATTATTGGTTAATACCTGAATTCAATTGTCATATTAACTGATCTTCCTTGTAGACATATAGATACTACTTATCGCTGGAAGCATTCTTCTTCATGACAGACATTGAAATGTTCCTCTTTAATCCGTCATTCCGGTCATGTTGCCGTTAAGTGCCGTCAAGTCAGTTCTGATCATAGAGATCATATGTACAAAATGAAACTGCCCAATCCTAATCCCTCCTCATAATATTTGCTACGCTTGAGCACACTGTTGCAGCCACTGTGTAAATCGTTTTCATTGAGGGTCTTCCTCTTTTGCCCTTAACTTTCACTTTACAAAGCATGATGTCCTTTTCCAGGGACTGTTCTCTCCTGATAATACGTCCAAAGTACGTAAGACGAAGTATAGCCATCCTTCCTTCTAACGAGCATTCTGGCTGTACTTCTTCAAGAACGTAGTTGTTCATTCTCCTGGAAGTCCATGGTATACTCAATATTCTATACCAACACCATAATTCAAAAGGGTCAATTCTTTTTTAGTGTTCTTTACTCATTGCCCAGCTTTCGCATGCATATGAAGTGACTGAAAATTCCACGTCTTCAGTCAGGCACTCCACAGTCCTAAAAGTGACATCCTTGCTTTACATGATTTTAAGAGATACTTTGCAGAAGATTTCCCCAACACAATATGGCATTTGATTTCTTGACTGCTGCTTCCATGGGCATTGTGCTTACTGGTCCAGGATTTGTTTTCTTTATACTGAGGTGCAACCATACTGAAGGTTGTATTCTTTGATCTTCATGAGTAAAGTCCTCTTCACTTTCAGCAAACAATGTTCTGTCATCTGCATAATGCAGGTTGTTAATGCGTCTTCCTCCAATCCTGATGCCACGTTCTTCTTCATATAATCCAGCTTCTCAGATTATTTTCTCAGCATACAAGTATGGTGAAAGAACACAACACTGATGCACATTTTTCCTGACTTTAGACTGCACAATATTCTCTTGTTCTGTTCAAATCACTGCCTCTTGGTCATGTAGTTTCCTCACGAGCACAATTAAGTGTTCTGGAATTCCTATTCTTTACAATGTGATCCATATTTTGTTATGATTCACACAGTCAAATGCCTTTGCAGTCAATAAAACACAGGTAAACATCTTTCTAGTATTTTCTGCTTTCAGCCAAGATGCATCTGACATTAGCAACGATATCCCTTGTTTCACATCCTCTTCTGAATACGGCTTGAACTTCTGGCAGTTCCCTGTCTATGTACTCCTGCAGCCACTTTTGAATGATCTTCAACAAAATTTTACTTGTGATGTTAATGATATTTTTCAATAATTTTCACATTCTGTTGGATCACTTTTCTTTGGAATGGGCACAAACATGGATCTCTTCCAGTCAGGTTGGTCAGGAAACTGTGATCTGATTTTCTTGACATAGATGAGTATCTCCAGCACTGCATCCGTTTGCTGAAACATCTCAACTGGTAGTCCGTCAATTCCTGGGGCTTTGTTTTTTTGCCATTCCCTTCAGTCCAGCTTGGACTTCTTCCTTAAGTACCATTGGTTCTTGACCATATCCTACCTCCTGTAATGCTTGAACATCAACCCATTCTTTTTGGTACTGTGACTCTGTGTATTCCTTCCATCTTTTAATGCATCCTGCATCGTTCAGTATTTTCCCGTATAATTCTTCAATACTGCAACTCATGGCTTAATTTTTTTTCAATTCTTTAAGCTTGAGAAATGTCTAGCGTGTTCTTCCCTTTTGGTTTTCCAATTCTAGGTCTTGGCAAATTTCGTTATAATACTTTGTCTTCTCAAGCTGCCCTCTGAAATCTTCTGTTCGGCTCTTCATCATTTCTTCCATTGGCTTTAGCTACTCCAAGTTCAAGAGCAAGTTTCACAGCATAGTTGACCATATAATCGTCCAATTCAAAATGGCCAATACCAGTCCATATCAACTGACTAATGCCTGGGATATCAATCTTTATGCATTCTATTTTTGATGATTTCCAATTTTCCTAGATTCATGCTTCATACACTCCAAGTTCCGATTATTAATGGATGTTTGTAGCTGTTTCTTCTTCTTTTGAGCAATGCCACATCAGCAAATGCTGGTCCCAAAAGCTTGACTCCATCTGTGCCATTAAGGTTGACTCTACTTTGAGGAGGCAGCTCATTACCAGTCGTATTTTGAGTGCCTTACAACCTAAGGGGCTCATCTTCTGGCACTATATCAGACAATGTTCGTCTAATAATTCATAAGTTTTTCACTGGTCAATTTTTTTTGAAGTACATTGCCAGGTTCTTCTAGTCAGTGACAGTCTGGAAGCACCACTGAAACCTGTTCACTATGGTTGACCCCGCTGTTATTTGAAATACCGGTGGCATAGCTTCCAACATCACAGAAATACACAAGACACCACAGTATGACAAACTGACAGACGAATGGTGGAGAATCAGAATAGGAATACATAAAAAAATCCAGGGGAAAAAATAAATAGCCCTGGAACTCGCCCACCAAATTACATGGAGAGTTGCCTTATCACAAAGGAAGCACACACACTACAGAGAATTTTCAAAAACTACAGACACTTTAATATGTGGGGTAGAGTCAACTAATCATCTAATTGGAACAATGAATGTATTTCTACGTCCTCCACATGCAAAAATAATTCCAAGTAGATTAAATGTCAAATGTAAAATTATAACATTTTCAGAAGCTATAAACACTTTCATGACAACAGCAGAGAGTGAAAACAACAAGACATAAAAGATTGACGGAGCCCTGGTGGCACAGTGTTTAAAATATTGGCTGCTAACCAAAACGCTGGCAGTTCAAATCAATGCTCCGCTCTGTGGGAACCCTATGGAGTTCTAATCCATTCTATAGGATCACTATGAGTAGGAATCAAATAAAAGGCAACAGATTTGGTTTGGAAGAGATTGAAAAATTCAATTATATTAAAATTCAGGACTATTCATCAAAGGAAGCAAAAAGTGAGTGGGTACCTAAGCTACATACTATGAAAAAATTTACAATAAATACAAATGTGTCTGTTTATTTCCAACTTCTATAAAGAAGCCCTAAAAGGTCACAAAAACATGAATTTACAGTGAGAAAATATGCACGGCCTTGTCAGTAAAGGAGTAGTGCAAGATCACTGCAGAATAAAGTTAAAGCAAAATACTATTTCATACCCATTAAAAACTAAAAATTGATAAATTTGAGAATCTCTGTGCAGGTCAAGCAAATGAAACAAATAAAATACATATACTTACTTTGTGGAAGGGAGGATTGCTAAAGAACATTGTAATTTCCTACTAAATTTAAACCTGGCTATGGTCTGCAACTCAGCTACTTACCCTCACTAGAATTATTGTGCATTTAAAGTATAAAAAGAGCAGTACTATTCACGAGAGCAAAAACTAAACTTTAAACAATGTAAATCCCTTAAGCTGTACAATGAATATGTAAATTGTGGCCAGTTCATCAAGTGGAACACATACATGCATAGGAACATGGGTAGACTACAGCGACAAACACTAACATGCATGAAACTCAAAAACATCATGAGGAAAACGAGCACACACGTAGTAATAGCATTCATACAAAATTCAAAAATATATTGTTTGTGAACTAAGACTCAAGTGATAAAGTTAGAATAATAACAATACTACTAACAATAAATAATAAATTTCTAATATATAGATTGTAGTTACCTCCAGGTTAATGAGATCAGGGCAGGACACACTGAGAGGCTCTAAGAATGTCCCAAGTTCTGTTCAAACTCAGGTTTTTATATTAGTGTTATTTAAACATTACTTGAAAAATTCCATGCATTCTTAGTTCATAATACATTTTACAACAGAAAGTTAAGGCATTATATAAAACTTGGAAAGAAATGTGATTTTCACGTATTAATTTTACCAAGGACAACATCGTGCTTGGCAAAGGAGAATTTCAGTAAGAAAGAAGAGGACCCTCAAGGAGATGGATTGACATGATAGCTGCGACAATGAGCTCAAACACAGCAACGACTGTGAGCGTGGCGCAGGACCAGGCAGTGTTTTGTTCTGTTGTACAGAGAGTCCCTGTGAGTCGGAGCCGACTCAATGGCACCTAACAACATAACAATTTTATCAAGTAATGTGACAACCCCTTTATTTTGATTTAACTTGTCTTAGGTCACAAGAGCTTTTATTCTTCAACTTTTTATGCCTGAATCTTAGAAACTTATATTTATAAAATACAAGAAGCTTTGTAAAAGCAAAATGTTGGAAACTATCCATGTGTCCATTCATGGTGGTACGTTTAAAAAAAAATCACCACCACCAACAAAAAATCAGGAAAAACTAAGATCCATCAAATGCAGTACTATGGAATTTTATAAAATTTTACGCTTAAGTTGTCTATTGTTATAAACAGATCTCTGGGATAATTTAACTGTAAAAAGCAAGCATAAATTCCATGGTATATAGTATGTGTAACAAAGTACGAGAAACAGGAGGTGAAGGAGAAGGTAAGGCATGGAATGATATTCCGAGGTGCCACAAATATGAAAGGCGCCTGACTCAGGCAGCTGAAAAAGAGGGAGGAAGGCGTTTCTGCTGATGCACGGCTGCTATCAACGTCTATTCATCTTGAAACTGGGAGGGGGGAGGCAGAACAACTTAGAGATTGCTCCTGGGCGCTCAAACTGGGGGCAGTGGCACAACATACAGATAGTGCCTGGTCACTCGTCACTGTGCTACGCCCCTGAGGAGAAATGAAAATTTCTAATTCCATTTGCTTGCATTTACATAAAGAAATACTAGCAAGACAGTAAAGAAAGTTTACAATAAAGCTGTTATCTAAAGGTAGCTAATGGACGGAAAAAGTCTGGATGAGCCAAGAGTAGGAATAAATCTTCAAGAAGTATCCTTTTTAAGTTCATAATGGGACTTGAACTTCAAAGATATTATCTATTGGAAAAACGTAGTTTCATTAAATTAAGTTATACTTTTAAACACGGTAAAAGTCAAAAGAAATGTTAAGTGTTTTTACTAGGAATTCACATTCGTAATAATAAAACCATTTAAAATTTAATCATTTAGGACTCAGCTGTTCAACAGTCTAATACACTTGTGCAAATCACAAAAGTATAAATTAGAGCTCTCTTTCTAAACACAGTAACCAGGGAGATCAGAGTCTGTACACCCATTTTACCTCACCACGGAGAATGTTTCCAAAATGGCTAAAGTATTTAACACATTGGGGGTTCTGGCATGATTTATTGACATAATAAGAATCTTTAAGAAACTTCTCAAGATTTAAGAAAGTTTTACAGGAACTTTTTCATCAGTTAATAGGCATTCCTCGTGTTTGAGAAGTTTTATATCTATTAAATGGAAAAAATTGTCAGAAGAAATATAAAAATTTGATTCCAAAATTTGCTTCAAGTGCAGACTGTGACCCTGTGAAGTTAAAAATAACCATCTCCTATCCTGAGTTCCTTTAGCACAAAAAAAAAAAAAAAAAGCCCACTCATAGATTCTAATCCAAAGCTGAGGAGCAGAAAGATAATTCAGGAGTTTACTACCAGCTCTAGGCAAAGACAGGGTGGGAGGACATGGACCTGGATTGGGCATCATGCTTCTCACACACCTGAAAGGTTCAAGTAAATCCAATACCCTACTGAGGGGGGGGGGGGGGGGACGGGACGACCCTGATGGTTTTGGTGATGCCACATATGATCCAGCTGGACTCACTCCCTTGCCTCATTCCCTTGGTGAGGTCATAAGAGTGCGAAATCTCACACAAGACCCCATAAAGAGCCAGGGTTGTTGCCCTACTAACCCTCCCATGTTCTTCACCCCATCACACAGTGTGCAAGTTGGAGCTATAGTGTTAGGACTGCACAGAAAAGACTGCAGTGCCTGGGGGAAGCCAACAACACTGTTTGCAGTGATGGGACGAAGATGACTCTGGAGGGCCTGGGCCTCAGCATCCTCAGTCACAGCTGTTCTGATTCAGGCTCTGGTCAGATCTGTTATTCAACACAGAGCACCAGGGCCCAGGATGGGGATGGTAATGTCCCATGGTGCCAACTTGGAACTCACATAGGGAAGAGGACACAGGCATTCCAGGCTTAAAAAACCACGTATGTGTAGAGGAAGGGCCCTGTGGCAATGGCACTTCTTAGGATATAGACCTTGGCATCTTCTGCCACCTTTTACATCAAAGAACAAACACACAGCTGGGAGCACACAGTTCGCCCCCAACAAATCACATTTAGCCTCACCCCTTTATGTTAACAATTACTCAGTTCTCTATGGTACTCACCATTTCCTGTCCCCAGCCTAACGAAGTCTAAGTGAATGTCCTCTCTACAGCCTGAGAAGCCACTTAAGGCAGGAGGGATGGGAGTGGAAGCAAACCCACTAGGAAGTCTGGAGGCAGATGAATAAAGTTTGGTCTACACAGCCAGTCAGCAGTTGAAATTCTTACTCCTGATTGACAGATGTGTTAGGTGGTTGCCCTAGGTCCCCAGCTGCCTAGACTGGACCACTTCTTCTGATCACACCTGGGACCTGAAACAGAAGAAGATGAGGGATGGGATGGGGGAGACAGTGTTGAGTAAATAAGGAGTATCATGTTCCTGGCTTCAGCTTTCCCTGGGCAGGGCTTCCTCCCAGACTCAAGACATTGCTCAGCCTTGAGGGTATCTGCATTCCTCATGCAGCTCTACAGGTTTCAACCTTATGGCAAGGAAATCACAGATGGAGCAATTTCCTCATCCCAGAGCATGGGAAGCATCCATGTCTAGCCAGGTGAGAAAACTTGAACCTGATTTCCACAGGGTGTCAGAGGCCCAAGGTTCAGACTGTGGTTTCAGATGGGCATCTTTGCTTCTTGTAAACCCATATAGACATTCATAACTGATATCAACATGGGTAAATTTTCAGAAGAATACAGTTTTCAACTTTGGTTAATGAATTCATCATGACTCTTTGATTTTTCATTATGTGAAATTAAACCCTCTTTTTAGAAAATTCTCATTTCATTTATATCATTGTAAAATGTGATCCGTATTTTTCCTGTCAAATTTGCAATTAATGTTTCTTTTTTCCTCCTACAGTGGTTAAGAGCTTGGCTGCTAACCAAAAGGTCAGCAGTTCACTGGAGAAACCCTGAGAGTATGGCTCCCGGACACCCTTTCAGTTCAGTAATGAAGTCTCTCCTGAGATTCACCTTTTAGCCAAAGATTAGACAGGCCCACAGGACAAAACGAGCCTAAAGGAGCACACCAGCCCAAGGGCAAGGATGAGAAGGCAAGAAGGGACAGAAAAGCTAGTAATAGGGAACCAAAAGTCGAGAAGGGAGAGTGTTGACATGTCATGGGGTTGTAACCAATGTCATAAAACAATATGTGCACTAACTGTTTAATAAGAAGCTAGTTTGTTCTGTAAACTTTCATCTAAAGTACATGTAAAAAAAAACTGTTAGCAGTTCAAATAGACCAGCAGCTCCTTGGAAACCCTATGGGGCAGTTCTGCTCTCTCCTACAGGGTTGCTATGAGTTGGAATAGACTCAATGGCAACGGGTTTTTTTTGGTTCTTCCTCTTGAGATTTTTTTTTTTTTTTTAACCCAAGGAGGGAGAGCTACACAGATGTCTGATTATGTAAGATCTTGTTACCAAAAGGAAAATACATGGCTTTCCTTCTACATGGGATTGTAGGGAGGAATGTGGAGATTTCAAAGATTAAATGCCAATCCCAGGCAGTGATAACCTAGAGAAAATCACATATGAGAAACTGCAGCAAGGAAAGAATGGACTCTTTAAAGTAAATGAATCTGGATCAAGTGGTTATTTGTAGGGAAAGAAAATAACAAGACCAGTGAATTAGAATTCCAAATATTACAAAAATAGATTACGTTAATGACTTTGGAGTTACCAATGATTCTCAAACAGGAAAATTAAAATTACACATTTTAAGTTTTGAAATATATATAGTTGCTGTTTGATTCTCTGGTTTCTATATATTTATTTCTATCTTTTGTTACTCTTATCTTCCATAGATTTGATATACACACCTTCATTCTATGTTATTACATTTGGTTTAAAAACAAGCATATTCTCTCTATTACAAATGCTATACACATTACTCATCAATTTAAATTTTACTTTTTCATGTTCAAAGTTATGTTCCATAAATGAACACTTTCTAATAGTTGCACGTTTTATATTATCCAAATAAAAGCACTTTCTAAAATAATTACTTCAAAGAATGAGGCACACTCAACAACACTGCAGTGTGGCTGACTAGGATGTGTTGAAATATTTTGAATATTTCCATAATGCACGTCTCTCATTTTGCCCTCATTCCCAGTATTTGCTACTCTTACAAAGGAAGTATGCCAGGTTTTTACTGCAAAAAACCTTCAACATATTAAGTGTAGCTATTTGGTAGCAGAAATTACAGTTGCCACACTAGAATTGAATCTGGCAGAGATCCTGTCTCAATCTATGCTTAGAATCTTGGAGAAACACTGGGTATGTGATCTCGATAAACTCGTCTCCTATGTTAACTTTGTTCAGCCATATCAGGTTGGCTAAATTGTCTTTGGCAAAATTGTGATGGAAATTTTTGCCTTAGTGCCAAATGAATTCCTGGAAATGTGCCTCTTAATCAGTATTTTCCACCTGAAGTGGGGATAATTATGGTCGTAAATGAACGTACTAGTTCGAATTCATGTTTCTTACTTCTTCATCTATGTGAAAGTCCTATAACAAACTAATAATCAAACCCACTGCCAGAGTCAATCCGGCTCCCAGCAACCCTATAACATAAGAGAACTGCCCCACAAGGTTTCCAAGGCTGTAATCTTTACAGGTGCAGACTCCCACATTTTTCTCTCATGGAGTGGATGGTGGGTTCAAACCACCGGGGCTCCTTAACAATAAACTAGGGGAGGGGGATATGCCTTACAATAATCTTACATCATGATAAACTGAGAAAATATTGAAGTTGTCAAGGATTTCATTTTACTTGGACCCACAATCAATGTCCATGGAAGCAGCAGTCAATAAATCAAACGACTTATTATATAGGGTTAATCTGCTGCAAAAGACCTCTGTAAAGTGTTGAAAAGCAAAGATGTCACCTTGAAGACTAAGGTGGGCCTGACCCAAGCCATTATATTTTCAATCGCCTCATATGCACGTGAAAGCTGGACAATAAGACTCAAGAAAAATTGATGCCTCTGAATCATAGTGTTGGCGAAGAAAACGGAATATACCATGGACTGCCAAAAGAACAAGCAAATCTGTCTTAGAAGAAGTACAGCCAGAATGCGCCTTAGAATCACAGATGGCGGAACTTTATCACACACACTTTGGACGTGCTATTTATTAGGAGGGGCCAGTCCCTGGAGAAGGACATAATGCTTGGGAAAGTAGAGTCAGTGGAAAAGAGGAAGACCCTTAACGAGATGGACTGACACAGTGGCTGCAACAATGGGCTCAAGCACAACGACCGTGAGGATGGTCCAGGACTTCGCATTGTTTTGTTCTGTTGCTATGAGTCAGAACCAACTAAACGGCACTTAACAACAGCATATGATAGAACTGCCCCACAGGGCTTCCAAGGCTGTAATCCTGACAGAAGCAGATTGCCACATCTTTCTCCCACTCCGAGGACGGTGGTTTCTAACCCCCGCCCTTTCCGTGAGCAGCCGAGCGCTTAACCACTGCGCCACCAGAGCCCATTAACAATTAAACTAGGGGAGGGGGATGTGCCTCCCACCACCTCACCTTCTGTAGAACCACCAACAGCTTCACAACAGTCCCTGCGTGCAGAGACGCAGGCGGGCAAGGCAGCCTGGGGCCGGGCAAACGGAGGCGGCGGGAGCAGGGCACTCACGCAGGCTAACTCCCTGCGTTTCGCTGACGCCTGTGACCCCAAAAGCCTCACAAAGTCCCGGCCAAGCTGACAGCCGTGGTCTCGCCCACGCACGGCCTCCCCGCTTAATGCGCCGACACACCTACGGCCCGCCCGCCTACCTGGCCGTCCCGACGCGGCGGCCGCCGGAGTCCTCAGCCGGGCGGCGAGAGCGGGCGCTTCGCTGCGCCGCCGGCCGAGGCCGAAGCCCCGCCAAAGAGGCGGCGACGGCGGCGGGAGGCCCCGCGGCCCTGGACCCTCCAGGGAGGCCGCAGAGGCCAGGCCTGCGCAGCAGAGGGAGCAACGGCCTCGGAACCGCAGCGGGCCCTCCCTGGCCGGCGGGCTCTACCTGCTACCGGGCCAGGCCGGACGCCCAGGGCGGCGCAGACGTACCTCACGCCCCAGCCGGGTGACCGCCACTCACAGCTGCCGGCCGCGCACGCGCACTTCCGCTTCCTGCTCTGACCCAGGCGGCGGGAGGGGCGGGGTTCCGGCGCGGACGCAGAGGGCTCCGCCCAGTGGTGGGCGTGTTCGGGGTCTTGTTGAACTCGGATCTTCCTCGTGTCTTTGTTTTCTCCATAAACAAACGCTTTAAACCAAAAACCGGTTGGCAACTAGTCAATGCCGACTCATAGCGACCGTATAGGACAGAGTAGAACTGCCCCATAGGGTTTCCTAAGCTGTATAAGTACAGCCAGATGCTCCTTAGAAGCAAGGATAGCAAGACTTCCTCTCATACACTTTGGACATGTTACCAAGAGGGACCAGTTCCTGGAGAAGGACATCATGTTTGTTAAAATAGACGGTCAGCGAGAAAGAGGAAGACCCTCAACGAGATGGATTGACACAGTGGCTGCAACAATGGGCTCAAACATAACGATTGTGAGGACGGCACAGGTACGGGCTGTGTTTCGCTCTGTTGTACATAGGGTTGCTATGAGTCAGTATTGACTGGAAGGCACCTAACAGCAAGTCTTTAAACAGATTCAGGCAAATCTCCATGTAGCTTACATTTTGGAGGGCACAGTCAACATGCACTAAACAAACTAATAAAAAAATCGAAATTGATAAGGGAATGAAGGAAAAGTAGATTGGAGGATTAGGGAAAATAAGAAAAGTAAAGTAATACTTGCAGAAGAAATACCCCTAAGAAGACGGACATTACAACAGAGTCTAAGAATTAAAACATTAGGGGTCCCCACATGGGAAATTGTTAGAAAGCAATTGGAACTAAGGCAGAGATTGCTTTTCCTTATTGATTTTCTGATTGACTGAGTCTAAAGGTAAAAATGTTGTGTTGAGAAATGCTCCCAGATTTCTGAATGTGTAGCATACAACTTCCTTTTCACTGATCACTTTATAAATGTTGGTGCCATGAATAGAGATTGAAACATGAAAATTCAGGAAACAAAAATATCTATTGTGAAAATTTCCTTTTTCCTCTTGCTCAACACTACCACCTCTCCAGCCCCCCTTACACTGTGTAGTTTTTATACTGACTTGATACTTGTTTCACCTCTTGGTCTGCTATTTGTATCTTATGGTAAAATTGTGCAAATGGAAGGGTAGTGTATTCCTTGGAACATGGAAGCTTGGCGTGGGGGACTCACACAGACCTCACCCTGTGTTATCTCTTTATTTGTATGTATACTTTTTGTTATATTAAAGATGTTACCCTAAGTATAGCCCTTTTTGTACATTCTGTGAGTCACTCCGGTGAATTAACAAACCCAAGTACAGTGTCCTCTTCAACTTATAAAGTCTGCCTCAGCTCCTTGTGGATATGGTCAGAAAAGTGCTGCATGGACAACTGGTCTGGAGGATGGTGTCCTAAATCGTGAGCTGTGACTCAGCTCTGGGTGGCTAGGGGCAGAGAGAGAGAGTTCCGTGTGGGCGGCTGGCAATAAGGATGGAGAAGTGGGAAGGTGAGGACTGGATTAATCTCCACCTCTTGGGGATTGGCTTCATAGTGATCCTTACCACGTGACTGGCAATGAAGGTGGGATTTGCCACCTATCTAACAAAATCCTCCATCTGTATTAAAGTAGTCAACAGGCCCTGTTGGATCTGGGTACGATCCCTTTCCCAGTGATGAATCCGAGTATTATTCAGTATTATTTGTTGAGTCTGCCTGAAGCTCAAGCACCTGTAAAGCCTGATCATCTTTCTAGGCTGACGCCTATCCCTTGCCTTCCTCCTGGAAAAGAATTCCGTCTAATCTACTTATATAGTTAATAATTCCTTTCCCGCTGAATGAAGCTCCTCGTTAAAAGTGAATCTGGTCTATCCAATAGCTCCTCTATAACCCTTTTCTATCTTGTGGGCCAGTGTTGTTGAATCCATTCTGCAGGTTGTTGCCAGTGTGTGTGAATGGCCTGAGTAGATTAAGGATACGCGATTTGAACCCAAAAAAGTAGCTTCCCCCATGCTACTGTTAGGTGAGTGGTAGTCGCTCTAGATGTAATTTAGTCTCAGCATGCCAGAAGGTCTGCCATAGCTTTCCTCACCTCAGGGTGAGGCAGTTTCCTAGTGGAATTTGGATTCACCATGTGGTACCTACTGCTTTAATGACATCACAAACTCATTGTCTTTTTCTATTTTGCTGAATAGCTTTCTCTGCAGAAAAACAAAGGTACTTGTGTATAGCACACTGTGGTATTCTGGGCATGCCACTGTGACATCTCATCCATTATAACCTGGAACATTTCTAAACATGGGATCATCCAAGTTTATAGTTACACAGTGATCAGCCAGATGGAAGTTGTATACCATAAAGTGTAATGATCCGGTAGGAGACAGTTTCTGAAAATTCCTTCCCAAATGATAGCTGTAACCTGAAAAATAAAAGTCAAAAGACACTGGCACATAACTAGAGTTCCATTCAGTCAACAACAATTGGTCCAGTTCATCGTATTGTATGAACAAAATGTCTCGCAGTGTGATGCCCCTCAGACCAGCAGGCTCCCGTTTGACCCAGGCAGATTCCAAATACAGGGTTGGTCTTGACAAACGTATGGCTTCACCATTCTGGGCATCAGGTATAATTGTGTTGAGAAACAACATTATTCTTTTGCTCTGAGTCTATCTTGACACGCTCATGTAAAATTGGATTTCCCTCATTGCATTACCATTTATTCGTTCCTTACCCTCAACTACTGCTTTTCCTTCTCTTCATTTAGAACTTATTTATACTAACTTTTCCATCCTTACGAGGGACGTAGGGTTGGACCACTGTGTCAATCCAGATCGGTAGCAGTGATACCAATCTAGCAAATGCTGCCTCATCAGTCCACTACCATTCATATAGGTAGTTGCACAGGTACAGAACTGGTGAGCTATCTCAACCAAAAGGCAATACAGGTGCACCCACTGTCAACTGCCATTTTGCCAGATGGAGCACAATCCACCCTGTCAGGCTCCTTTGAACTCTGACATAAACGTTTAAGGTATAGTTACAGTTTCTGTCTTAGGGATTATCCCTGTTCCTGGCATCCACAGGTTTACCTATGGTCCCTGGACCATTGCATGAGGTAGGCAAAAAGAAAGTTGAGGTGATGTGTGGAAGAATTGTAAAGTCATACCAGCATCCTCCCCAACACATTCTTCCCATTTCGCACGGAAAATTGAAGGACTATATCTAGTGGGAGCAGTTTCAGTTAAGCAAGCTGGTAATTGTTGCATAAAGAGATACATTGTACCACAAGGTCTGGAAAATTTCTGTTGCAAAATTAGTTGTCACTGGATGGAATGAACAAATTGGCTCTAGCTGTAAACCGCTGAAGCATCTACAGCCAGGATGGAGGGCCATTGCTCCATTGTTACTTATTTGTCTTGGAGTAAAAACATTTAAATACATCATACCAATGGTAAATGCTTAAATCACATTCCTAAATAGCAACGCACAAAAATTCTGCTTTGTCACACATTACTTTTACTAGCTGTTGTGACATCTTTGTTGCTTGTGCTTTCAAATGATTGCCTGCCTAATTCTGAAGTTCATTACCAGGTCTTTCCCAATCCAAGTCTATGGAGTAGATTAAATCTGCAGCGTGAGAGTCTAAATTCTTAGCTAAGAGGTTTTCTTGCAAGGCCTAATGAATTTCTCCTGGAACTTAGTCAATTTCATAAGTAATACCACATTTGCATGACAATTTAGACCCTTTAGTAATTGTTCCATCTTCCCAAATAAATATTTCCCGGAATCAAAATACAAAGACACCCATACTATTATCTAGTATGAATCATATTATGAGGCATTAGAATATTGAATATACCATGGGCTGCCAAAAGAATGAACAAATCTGCCTTGGAAGAAGTACAACCAGAATGCTCCTTAGAAGGAAGGATAGCGAGACTACATCTTACATATTTTGGACATGTTGTCAGGAGGGACCAGTCCCTGGAGAAGGACATCATGCTTGGTAAAGTACAGGGTCAGAAAAAAAGAGGAAGATCCTCAATGAGGTGGATTGACACAGTGGCTGCAACAATGGGCTCAAGCGTAATGATTGTGAGCATGATGGAGGACCGGGCAGTGTTTCGTTCTGTGATGCATACTGTCGCTATGGGTTGGAACCGACTTGATGACATCTAACGACAACAAGGGGCATTGGTTCAAGAGGATGGATTGAACTTCCAATGTTTAATGCACATGGCTCTAATTGTCTAGAGGACAAACTCATTCCATAGGACAATTTCACATCAGTCTACGTCAATCGTTGTATTATTTTAACAGCCAACTAAATCTACATGTATAATAGCCATCCACCTTTGTTCATCTGTCTGTATTGGGACTTGAGCCCACTTGCACCCCAGCGTTAATCAAGAGACATTAGACCTGTCTTCTTCAGGCTCTATCTGTAAATAGCAGATGTCTGTTTTTCTATTAATTAGATGCTTCTTTTTTCTACATCATCCTTTTATCTCCTTTGGTATAGTCATTGTCCCAATACCCAGTTGTTTCCTGAAATATGAACAATTCTGAAATTTTAAACTAATGATGATATCTTGGATCTGTTTTATACCTAGTTACTGTTGAACTATAGAAGTGAGTGCCTCTGAGAGCTTTGTGGGATGTTTTTTCAGCATTATAAAATTCCAAGCAGTCTAATCCCAAATCTTAGCAAATAACATGTTTTTTTTTTTTCCCTAATGAAATGTGATTCTTAAGATAATTGAAATAACCACTACCATGAATAGGACATTGAGTTTATATTAAAGATGGTGGAATATTTTGGAAAAGGACAGTGATGATGGTGGCACAACATGAAAAATGTAATCGGTGTCATTGATTTGTAAATATGGAAGTTGTCATGCTGACAAATGTTTTTGTGTGTATATTTTGTGTGTGTATTTTCGCCACTGAAGGGCAAAAAGGGTTTGCAAGGCC